AGCTCCGACTTCAAGATCACTGACGTCATGATTCAACCTTGTTTTTTTGTCTTTAAAGCACCACAAATCCAGAGAATGCCAGACTTTGATGACAAAGTTTGATGACAAGAAGGACCACCACGCCGCGTTCAAGTGAGCACAGCACAACAACGGTGAGTCCAAAAATATGTCTTGTATACTGCTGCATAAATGATGTAATATGCCAGGGAGATAATGTATGTATACAGTAGCTAAGTAAGTAACACTAATGTTGTGTAGTAAGCTGTTAGTAGCCCATGTGTCTCACCCTAAGAATTTGGTCCCTCTCCCCCTCAGAACTTAGCCTACTGTTCTGACTTGGTGGTGTACATGTAGCCTATAGCCTGTTTTAGAGAAATGTCATCATTGAATATTGTAAGAGCTTTTATTGTCTGCTTATATGCCCCCATTATTTATCCTATGGTTCTGACTTGGTGTACAGGGAGATTACTGTAAGAATGGCCCATGTTCTGAATTTTGTCACAGTACATTTTAAAAGTGCTGAGCAAATAGTTATATCGACTACTCGCTCATGAATGTCTTAATCGAAATTACAGCTTGCCTCTTATCCGCTCATTGTTCTCTTATGCCATAGTTTGTACATCTCAATTGTTATATTGCTTATCATTAGTATCTTATTCATCATTTTAGGCAATGTTGGAATGATTTCATTGTTTTGCTTACTTTGTGTATTATAATTAGCTCATGTGCTTTTCTTCATGAGGAGGGGATACTATATAATGTTGTTGGGTCTGTAACCATGTTTGCCAGTGAGTCTCTTCCCATTGAAAAAAAATAGAAAATCTACAAAAGATTCAGTAATAGACCCATCTAATTCCAGTTGATATTGTGAGGGTTGTTTTGTTTGCGCAATGCACTGTCTGTGCATCTGTATATTGTCTATAAAGGTGGATCCTCGTGATTATATTTTCATCCTTTTTAGACCACATAGGCATAATAAAATAAATAAATATTGTGTAGTGGCTTTGCTGGCATGCATAAAAAAAAAGCTTTAGTTTACCCCACCAAGATTTACATGCTAAAATCGCCACTGCGTTCAACACACCTTGTAACTCTTCTGCAGTAAAACCTCATACACCCAAGTACTTCTCTGCATCTGCCACCACAACATATATTTTCTGTAATTTACGTTCCATTTCTGCAGTACAGTTGATAACCATGGCAATGAACGTTAAGAAGCCAGCCTTACTGAAGCACAAATTGGTATCACTCTGTATTGGCCTAGGCCTAGTACTCACCCTTGACCCATCATCCTGTACTCTCTATACTGCCTCAGCATACGACACCTTCTGTTCTACTCTGACCCTGGCAACCTCAACCTGTCTCTCTCGCACTGGGCACTTCTGATCCCCAGCAACATGGGCACCCCCACAATTGATACACAGTTTTTTCCACTGATACTACACATTCCTTTGTCCCATGCCCTCCTGCACACTTATCACATCTTGGAATCTCCCTCACACACACTGCTGCAACATGACCATAAGGTTGGCATCTGAAATGCCTTAGTGGGTTCGGCACAAAAGCTCCCACATGATAACTGACATATCCTTACATTACTTTATCAGGTAAAACCTCTGCTTCAAAACTTAAAAGGACAGACAGTGTCTTCTTAGTTTTACCACGCTCGCCACTGGAGCTGCGTTGCACCAAACGGCGGGCGTCACAGACACAAGGAATCTTACATTTCAGTTACTCCACCTCAACACTTAATGCCACCTCAGTAATCACTCCTTTCAAAGTCACAGGTCTTGTCCCTAGGCGCGTGACACGAAGCTCCCGCTGGACAGAAGAAACACAGAAAATCCACTTCGAGCTACCTTCACCGATTTAACAGTACCCAACTTATTTTCTACCCAGCCTGAGACTACATATGGATCAGCCAAAAGACAGGGATCCACTTTCTCCCAAACTTTCACTCCCACTGGGCCCGAATCATCCTTTGCATGACCATCGGGGCGAGACTCTGGGAGTTCTTCATGACCATCTGGGAGTTCTTCACCACACCTGCCACCACAGGTAATTCATCCTCACTCTCGTCAGGTTACTTGGCGCCATTCTTCCTCAACACACATCTTCCCACTGCATTTGACTCTTCTCCTTCTTCTCACTGTCCATAACCACATCTCTCCGTTCAACACGCTCATGCCGCGCCTTTATCCGCTGTACTGCTTGCAGAACATGCACTAATGGCCTTTTTCCAATACCCACCTTCTTTTGCCTAGCCCAATTTACTAGTCTGGCTATCTCTGGCCTCTCCATGCTCGCAAAACGTGCTTCTCCAGATCATAGGAATGCTAACAGGAAATACAGTGTCGGCAATTGTGTAGTGGTGCCTGGAGAAGTTGGTATACACTAATTTTGCCAAAAACTTCCCAACCGTTCTGCCCGGCGAAGGAACGGTGCCCTGTGACTCTCAATGACCTAAAATGATAAATCCCATATTGGTCTTTCAGTCAGGCCAACCCAAGCTGTACTGTGAAAGTAGGCTAATAGTAGGCCTACTATTGAAATAGATAAATGAGACGGTCAACTGAATCAGAAATTCACAAGTTTCTTTTTTTTAAAGGTTTTACGTAGGCTACACTTTTTAATAGAAAAACAACAAATTGGATGTTCTAAGTTAACAACAATGCTTAAACCACATCAGGAGACCACTTTTGAGGTCTGGGGAAAATCTAAGACGTTTAGATTTTTGAATGTAGTTACACTTTAATTCCACTGAGCAGGCACCTAGCACTGTTGTTTGGTTAGCAGTGTTTCTGTAGCGCACATGAGATGGAGTTTGCAAAACAAATGGCCACTGGATTGATGCAAATAATCATGATATCATTCTTCCAGGTAGGCATAGGCTAATTTGTAGCTAGTTAACATTTAATTGAGATGGTTTTTGGCAAAGCCCTTCCATCTACTGTTCCTTAATTGTTTGAAACCTGGACGTTTTACATCCTATTATGAGGCATGTCTTACCTTGCTTCAAAGTAGCCTATAGCCACAATCCCACCATAGAAACGTGGAGGCAATTGGTCTATGGTCTATTGGTTTTGAAATCAACTTTCTTTCATTATCTAGCAGCCAAAGGCATTATCCTAGTCATATTAGTAATCCATGATATTTGTTGCATCTTTAGATCTCCCATTTTTCAACATTTCTAATGGATATTTCCATCTCAAAGTCTATTAAATTGCTTGGCCTACCACCGTGTGTACATTGCTGCGCGTAATTTTTTTTTTCAGCTAAACATTTTGATCTGTTTCATCAGCCTTAGTAATTGATACGGAGTATACCGTCACTACACTACTTTGATATGCATCTTGGGGATTAAGAAATTAGTATATGCAATGCCCACCCCAAAAAACTATGCAATGCCCACCAATGGGACGTCCCTGCCCCATTGAAGTTGAAATTTAAAATGGTATGGGTTAAGGTTAGAACAGGCACAACTCCGATATAAAGTTTGCTTTTCTCAAAGTTGTGACATGTCCTACTTATTAGTACACTAAGCATTACAAATCTTCTATTCAATCAATATGCCTCACCTAGCAAATAAGCCATTCCACTTTTTGTTGACCAAATTCTACACTCTTATTGACCTCCATACAAATTCCACTCTCTCATTGACCTTTTTTTATTTTAAACGCCACCTGCTGGAGAAGACAGATTTTGGCCTGTGGGCCGAGTTGGGCCTCTCGCTTTACCTCTCGCTTTGCCTCTTCCTCTCTGATTGTATAGATACATTGTAGCTGTATATGTAGCTATCATCCTTCATTCATTATGTTTGGGAGATGCTTTCAAACCAACAGTAAGGAAAATATTTGTTTTATTATTTTAATGGCATAAAGTCATTTCTTGCTGAATAGTTCATGTCATTTGGAGCACTAAGATGCTTTAAAATGTCCCAGTGTCTTATGAATAGATCCAATAGATATCCCAAAAGAGCCAATAAACAATTTTGATATTATAAAGTGTGTAAAATTTGACTCTTATGCTAAGTAATATTAAATGCTATTTTCATGAAAGCCAGACTATGACTACCAATTTCCACTACATCTAGTGTACATTTTTTTATTTATAACCTTTAGAAATGTGTGGAAGATCCTTAGTGAAAAATCCTCTTCTCAAAACGCTATTTTCAGTAGTATGTGCTTTGTGTTCACCAGCTGCAAGATACATTCAGGGACACATGATATCTGTTGAATATTTACAAATCGCATGTTTTGGGGAGACTTGAGTCAGAAATATGATGATGATCAATGGGAGTCAGAAATATGATGATGATCAATGGAGAGAAAACAGAAAGCAGGATAGCAGACCTGAAATCTGAGAAACCTCTGGTGGGCAGAGGGGGAGCGTATTGGGATAACTATATGACAAAACCAGAAACTAGAATAATTGTCTCCCCCATCATCTGTGTTATGGCTATGATAATTCATGGTGAAGGATTATTAGCAGATATGTCTTAATATTAAAAACAGATTGGTAAAAAACACAAACAATACTCTCCAGATGTATAACGATGCACATACGTAATACCCAAATAGTCTGACATGGAATAGTCTTCATGAAAGTCCCTTTGTGAGATTGTGACAATCATGTTACACACATGTATATTGCATGAAACAATAATATTGACAGCAAAAATGTACAGACCTTTACAACTCAAATACAAAATAAATAAACATATTTTACACACCATTGGATAACATCTCTTGCCTTAAGGCCATTATTAGGAGGAAACACAGAATGTGATAATGATAATATATCAAAGAAAGAGAGTAAAGCAAGAGAGGGTCAAAAAGAGGTGTATACATACAGACAACAATCCAATATTAGAAATGTTAACATTAGAACAGTATCTTCTTATGTTGTTTGTTTATGTTAAATTCTTCAATTCAAGTGACAGCAGTCTTAAAAGGAGAGGAGGAATCATTGCAGAGTGGAGGAGAGTCACAGTATTTCCCTCAGCAAGGGCAGTTGCTCTTATTAACGTTTGTCGCTTGTGAAAGCCTAACCCTTCCATCCTCCCTCTCCACATCCCTGTACAGCAGGGACTTCTGAGCTTTCAGCCGACATGCCAGGCACATGAAAATGGAGTCCACGTTTTGGCTCTCCTTGGGGTCCTTGGCCGAGGTCTCAAACAGCAGCATGTTGTGGGCGTCTGCAAACTTGAGGGCAGTGTTGGAGGGCACTTGGATCTGACTAACCAGGTCACACTTGTTGCCCACCAGAACCCGAGGCACAGTGGGTGAGACGCGGTGCCCGTTGCACTCCTGGATCCACGTCTTCAGGTTCTGGAATGAGTTCATCTTGGTGACGTCGTAAACAAAAACGACAGCGTGCACATTGCGGTAGTAGTGTTCTACCATGCTCTTCCTGAAGCGTTCCTGTCCTGCAGTGTCCCACACCTGCACCTGTTGAGGAGTAATCACAGATCCAGTGGTCAGAGAGTAATCGTGGGTATTGGTCAGAGAGAGATGGGACAACATGTCTACATACTATATTAAAAGGTTTGAGACATAATCAGAATAAATACTAGACTGGACAATGTACAAAGGAAAATGTAGGTAACAACGGCTTAGTTTAATAATTATGTTTGGAGGATCATTGCATTATGAGGCCAGTGGACATGAAATTTCCATGTGAAAAGGGAGGACAGATTAATTCCACATGTATGCTTTTATAAAAGATCAAAGGCCCAATGTTTTGAATACTGCATTAGTGCATGTCTTCCATTTCTGAATAAAATAAATAGAATAATAGATATTTGAACAAAGATGCTCTATTGCTAATGCTTTCATACTGAGGACAGGTTTTGTTAACTGAGGTAAAGACAGTTTCAGCTTGGATATTCGCCAGATATTCACACTTTCAAACCTAAATAGCTTTCAAACCACTTGAGCCACAGACTCCAAATAAGTGTCATGATGTTGGAAAAGTTGCGCACAACATTGCACAGGTCTTATTTTCACGATTTGGACATTCATTCGCTTTCCACAGCTAATAAACACATGGAAATGTGAGGAGCATTCTGGTATTCAGAGTTGAATTAGTAAGGGAGCGTAAACAAATTACAAACTTTTTTTACATTCAAATTTCAATAGCTCCTTGGTCATGTGACCTACTGACCTAACCAAGGTTCAGAATGTCCACTGACTACCCTTCTACATTGCACAAGCTTTTGTTTGTCCCTTTTCATCTCACACGATTTTACATGATTTTTTTTCAAACTATCTAATTTCAATAGCTCCTTGGTCATGTGACCTACTGGACTCAAACAAGGTTCAGAATGTCCACTGACTACCCTTCTATATTGCACACCCTTTAGTTTGTCCATTTTCATCTCACACAATTGTAAATGAAACTTTCAAAGTTTTACATGAATTTTTTACCCAGTAGGTGTGGACATTGCTGCACAGTGGACACCCACACTCAGAAGTCATTTGGGGAAAAAATGAGAGTATCTGACTGACAGAGTAGTTACAGTGCCTTGCAAAAGTATTCATCCCCCTTGGTGTTTTTCCTATTTAGTTGCATTACAACCTGTAATTTAAATTTATTTTTATGTGGTCCTCTGTAGCTCAGCTGGTAGAGCACGGCACTTGTAACGCCAAGGTAGTGGGTTCGATCCCCGGGACCACCCATACACAAAAAAAAAATGTATGCACGCATGACTGTAAGTCGCTTTGGATAAAAGCGTCTGCTAAATGGCATATTATATTATTATTATATTTGGATTTCATGTAATGGCCATACACAAAATAGTCCAAATTGGTGAAGTGGAATGAAAATAATTACTTCTTTCAAAAAAGTATACAAAATAAATAACGGAACACCCCCTTTGCTATGAAGCCCCTGAATAAGATCTGGTGCAAACAATTACCTTCAGAAGTCACATAATTAGTTAAATAAAGTCCACCTGTGTGCAATCTAAGTGTCACATGATCTGTCACATGATCTCAGTATATATACACCTGTTCTGAAAGGCCCCAGTCTGCAACACCACTAAGCAAGGGGCACCACCAAGCAAGCGGCACCATGAAGACCAAGGAGCTCTCTAAACAGGTCAGGGACAAAGTTGTGGAGAAGTACAGATCAGGGTTGGGTTATAAAAAAATATCAGAAACTTTTAACATGCCACGGAGCACCATTAAATCCATTATAATTTATTGAATGTGGACCAGAACCCCGTATATATAAGGCAAGTGAGTGGATGTTCCGAAAGTAGTTTGAGGGTTGTAGGTCAAATGACCAAGGAGCTATTGAAATTTGAAAGTTTGAAAAATGTATGTAAAATCGTGTGAGATGAAAATTGACAAACAAAAGGGTGTGCAATATATAAGGCTTGTCAATGGATATTCTGACAGCAGTTTGAGGGTTATAGGTCACATGACCAGAGAGCTATTGAAATTTGAAACAATGAAAAACAGAAAAATTAATGTAAAATCACCTGAGATGAAAATGGATGAACAAAAGGGTGTGCAATATATAAGGCTTGTCAGTGGATATTCTGACAGCAGTTTGAGGGTTGTAGGTCACATGACCAAGCAGCTATTGACATTTGAAACTTTTAAAAGTTCTCATAAAATCACCTGAGATGAAAATGGAAGAACAAAAGGGTGTGCAATATATAAGTCTAGTGAGTCCACTGAGTGTACATTATGAACCTTGTTTGAGGTGTGTGGGTCACATGACCAAGGCACTATTGAATTTTAAAAATTAAAATAAATCATTTAAAATAGTGTGATATGTAAATCAACAAAAAAAAGTGTGTGCAATATGTGTCTCTGCCATCGGGTTAGCTAGAACCAGTTTTGAAAGTTTTAGGAGTAATGGTTAAAGAGCTATTGAAATTTGAACAATTAGATGTGTCACTATGTTGACGGTCCCTAACTGTTGTTGGTGGACGTAAGGAAAACTACAGGCGACGAATATCCAACCTGAATCTGTCTTTACCTCGGTGTTTTATTTTGAGGGTGAATCTCAATGAGAAAACAGGTGACGATAAATATTGTTAAAACATCACATTAGCTATGTCACTGTCTGTTGCTAAAAACACTGGGACTAGGTCATCATGTCAGGTAGGTTAGGCCGGGGGCATTCAGAGGTTTGTCGACTCGTTTGTAGGCCTAGTCCTTAGAGGCAGGTGCAATGAAACAGTAGATGATCTGATATTATACTGTAAATTCCTTAACTCAAAAACCATGCAAACATTGTTGATGGATCTATTACTTAATAGAAACATTCAACCTAACAACCTATCTAAATATAAATGGAACATTTTAACTGCTTATGGACTCTGGAGAGAAATAATTATCTCCTCGGTTTATTGACATGTCATGCATAGGTTCATAACGGTTGAAACAATGAACACATAAATGGTTAATTAACACAAGGAAACAAAGAAAAGCGGCCCTGTCTCGATCAGATGCTTAATTAGGATATTACCTTTATTTTTTCGCCCTCTATTTCCACTGCTTTCTCCCGGAAATCCACACCGATTGTCGCCTCTGTCTTCTCTGGAAAGCTCCCACCGGTGAAGCGGAAGGTTAAGCAGGTCTTCCCTACATTTGAATCCCCGATTACAATTATTTTAAATATTCGAGTCTGAACACTCGATTCTAAGGATGTGCTGAGATCCACAGATGATGTCAAATGTGTATTTCTTGAATTTCTCGAACCGGTCCCTCCATCATTTTCAAGAGATTCATTTGCCATTACGTTAAGATGATGTACACAGTTGCGTACTGGACTCGCGGATGGGGGAAGGAAGGTAGGGCTACCAGGCAGGGCAACAACAGCAATCCACTCCCCCACAAGCAGCTTCCTCATGGAAGAAGGGAAAATACAATTATTTCAAAGTTCCCGTATTTCTAAATAGCTATGTATGTATATACAATAGTTTATAGTCAGTAAACACAATGGTAATGTTTAATGTGATTTATAGCCTATCAGGTCATATCAGAGAGGAAATTAATAATTCAGTAGGCTAATATTAAACAATATTTAGATTGTCAATCAAAATGTCGTTATTGTTTATACCGCTGCAGTAGATATTTTTACACGCCTACAAATTTTACCTACAAATGTCTCACACAGGTTTGATTTCACACAGACAAATCATGTGATCCATTCTGCTGATCAGTGTTTCCACTAGTTACCACTGCCACAAAGTCAATATTGGCAATATCGTAAAGATTCATAAAAACTAAAATTAGCTTTTTCGTCTTAATTTGAGGTTAGGGTTAGGCATAAGGTTAGCAATGTGGTTAAGGTTAGGGTTAGGTTTAAAATCAGATTTTAAGAAGATAATGTTTATAAATAGGCGGGGTTTATGACTTTGTGGCTGTGGGACCTGTGGTCCAGGCAAGACAATTGTCTGATGTATAATGCAGCTTGAAAGGTGAAAATCTATCCTGAGAGGTTTCAAGTAAGTGCACCAGTGATGCATGTTTCCCATTTGCACTGGATATCCTAGGTCTATTATAATTAAATATGTAGGTCTAGTCATTAAGTAAAATGTACCAAATATGTATTAACAATGTAATAAACAAATTCATATCACTCACCTAATGAAATATTGGTTCCAAAAGAGCTGGTAGAATTAGATGCTGGGTCTCCATTTTGATTAGCTCTGTAGAAAACAATTCTAACATTTCTATCACGCAAAGCTTCCTTTTACTCTCTCTATGAAAGGCTCATTTGTTCCAAATGGTTTGTATGAAATCTGAAAGCATGCCTCAGAATGGGATTCGCACTGCTTACAATCAGAGAGGGCATACAGACAGATTCCTGTGTAAGGGATTCACATGTCTTTTTTTGGATGGTCAGGAGGAACTCTAGTCACCTGTAAACTTTATCTTAGTAAAAAAAAAAGGCATATAGTTAAACCAACAATGAGAGTTCAGTCAAAAGTATACTTAGATATTTACAGACACAAATCTTTATATATATATATTTTTAAAGCATTCCCTAAGGTACATCAGAGTTCGATTTTTGTTGTTCCATATGCTTATATTTCAGCCAACAATTTAAGCACACTTTTTTTTATCTTTACCTCATTATAGTGATATTACTGTTCAGAATATTTTACCCCTGATAATATGCACAGTAATTACACGGTTACATAATTGCACTGTACGATTAGGTTTCACATTCAATTGAAATTGTCAGATAAGATTAATTTAGCCACTTCTATTTGGTTGTGTCTCAGATCACCTGAAGATATGTTGCTTTAAAGTCACTTCCTAGAGCATTTTTTGTGTTGCATTTGTAAATCCCTGAATTCATAAGCACTGGATCTTGTATGACCAAGTTGCCCTCAACTGTCATGTGAATTCCTCCCTGTGGTGTGAAACAGTTGTTGTGAACAAGTGTGGTTCTTCCAGGTAGAGTCCATGTAATTTCAGACTTTGGTATGCCTGCAGTTACAGTGGCTTGCGAAAGTATTCACCCCCCTTGGCATTTTTCCTATTTTGTTGCCTTACAACCTGGAATTAAATATGATTTTTTGGGGTTTTGTATCATTTGATTTACACAACATGCCTACCACTTTGAAGATGCAAAATATTTTTTCTTGTGAAACAAACAAGAAATAAGACAAAAAAACTGAACTTGAGCATGCATAACTATTCACCCCCCCCCCCCCCCCCCCCAAAGTCAATACTTTGTAGAGCCACCTTTTGCAGCAATTACAGCTGCAAATCTCTTGGGGTATGTCTACATAAGCTTGGCACATCTAGCCACTGGGAGTCTTGCCCATTCTTCAAGGCAAAACTGTTCCAGCTCCTTCAAGTTGGATGGGTTCCGCTGGTGAACAGCAATCTTTAAGTCATACCACAGATTCTCAATTGGATTGAGGTCTGGGCTTTGACTAGGCCATTCCAAGACATTTAAATGTTTCCCCTTAAACCACTCGAGTGTTGCTTTAGCAGTATGCTTAGGGTCATTGTCCTGCTGGAAGGTGAACCTCCGTCCCAGTCTCAACTCTCTGGAAGACTGAAACAGGTTTCCCTCAAGAATTTCCCTTTATTTAGCACCATCCATCATTCCTTCAATTCTGACCAGTTTCCCACATGCCTTTTGGCGAACACCAAATGTGTTTGCTTATTTGTTTCTTTAAGCAATGGCTTTTTTCTGGCCACTCTTCCGTAAAGCCCAGCTCTGTGGAGTGTAAGGCTTAAAGTGGTCCTATGGACAGATACTCCAATCTCCGCTGTGGAGCTTTGCAGCTCCTTCAGTGTTATCTTTGGTCTCTTTGTTGCCTCTCTGATTAATGCCGTCCTTGCCTGGCAGGTTTGTTGTGGTGCCATATTCTTTCCATTTTTTTATAATGGATTTAATGGTGCTCCGTGGGATGTTCAAAGTATTTGATATATTTTTTTAACCCAACCCTGATCTGTACTTCTCCACAACTTTGTCCCTGACCTGTTTGGAGAGCTCCTTGGTCTTCATTGTGCAGCTTGCTTGTTGTTGCCCCTTGCTTAGTGGTGTTGCAGACTCTGGGGCCTTTCAGAACAGATGTATACTGAAAACATGTGACAGATCATGTGACACTTAGATTGCACACAGGTGGACTTTATTTAACTAATTATGTGACTTCTGAAGGTAATTGGTTGCACCAGATCTTATTTAGTGGTTTCATAGCAAAGGAGGTGAATACATATGCACGCACCACTTTTTAGTTATTTATTTTTTAGAATTTTTTGAAACAAGTACTTTTTTTCATTTCATTTCATCAATTTGGACTGTTTTGTGTATGTCCATTACATGAAATAAAAATAAAAATCCATTTAAATTACAGGTTGTAATGCAACAAAATAGGAAAAACACCAAGGGGGCTGAATACTTTTGCAAGGCACTGTATGTAGTTAAATGTTACTGGCGAGCCCCTGTGGACTCTAGTGATGGTTTGTGATACGTGGAGGATACACCATAACTGCAACTGGGTATGAAAACGTAGATGATCCAAATGTGTTGGTGGCCTTGCAGACGTAGTTTCCCCTGTCAAATGTGACAACCTATCTGAGTTGGAGTGTGCCGTTTGATGAAAAAGTAATTATCCCACTAACCTGGGGCTTGTCCAGGACCAGGCCGTTTGGTAGGGTCCATGTAATCAAGGCCTGTGGTCAGCCATCCAATGAGCACGGCAGGCTCAGAATTTGGCCAAACGTGATCTTCATGCCCCCTGTTGTGCCTAGAATCACAGGCTTTCTTCCTGGTTCGAGAGCATATCGCTTCTCTGCTGTCCCAGCCACGTTTTTGGCCAAACAACGATAAACACCTTTGTCAATTGTCACTGGTTGGGCGATGCGCAACGTCCCGTTTCCTGGATAGTGAGTGAAGCATTGGAGTCTAGTGCCAGGCGACAGAACTGTGCCGTTTGGCAGGATCCAAACAAACTTTGCACACTCTTGGCATTCTCTCAACCAGCTTCACCTGGAATTATTTTCCAACAGTCTTGTAGGAGTTCCCACATATGCTGAGCACTTGTTGGCTGCTTTTCCTTCACACTGAGGTCCAACTCATCCCAAACTATCACGACTTCCTCCGAAGCTGCCTCCTCTCCTTGTTCGGGCAGGGTTCGGCGTTCGTCGTCACCGGCCTTCTAGCCACTGCCGCTCCTCATCTCATCATTCCATTTGTTTTGACTTGTTTTTTACACACACCTGGTTCATAACCTAATCAGTCCCTGTATAAGTATTCCCTCTGCCCCCCATGTCTTTGTGTGTGATTGTTTCCATGTGGAGGTGTCGCTAGCTCGGTTGAGCATTCATGTTACTTTTGTCGTCGGGATATTCACCCGTGTGTTTTGTTTCCCCAGCGCGCATTGAAGTCGCACTGTATTTGGCTTTTGTGTTGCTGCGAACTGCTGTACTGGACGAATAAACCATATTCTGTGATTCACACCTCCTGCGCCTGACTCCGTCCTCCTCACCTGCTACATAAACCATCTCAATTGGTTAGAGGTCGGGATATTGTGGAGGCCAGGTCATCTGATGCAGAACTCCATCACTCTCCTTCATGGTCAAATAGCCCTTACACAGCCTGTAGGTTTTTTGGGTCATTGTCCTGATGAAAAACAAATGATAGTCCCACTAAGCCCAAACCAGACGGGATGGCGTATCGCTGCAGAATGCTGTGGTAGCCATGCTGGTTAAGTGTGCCTTGAATTCTAAATAAATCAGAGACAGTGTCACCAGCAAATCACCCCTACACCATAACACCTCCTCCTCCATGCTTCACGGTGGGAACTACACATGCGGAGATCATCCGTTCACCTACTCTGCGTCTCACAAAGACACAGCGGTTGGAACCAAAAATCTCCAATTTGAACTCCAGACCAAAGGACAGATTTCCACAGGTCGAATGTCCATTGCTCGTGTTTCTTGGCCCAAGCAAGTCTCTTCTTCTTATTGCTGTCCTTTAGTAGTGGTTTATTTGCAGCAATTCGACCATGAAGGCCTGATTCAAGACAGTCTCCTCTGAAGAGTTGATGTTGAGATGTGTCTGTTACTTGAACTCTGTGAAGCATTTATTTGGGCTGCAATTTCTGAGGCTGGTACCTCTAATGAACTTATCATCTGCAGCTTAGGTAACTCTGGGTCTTCCTTTCCTGTGCCGGGTCTCATGAGTTTCAGTTTCATCATAGCGCTTGATGGTTTTTGCGACTGCACTTGAATAAACTTTCAAAGTTCTTGACTATTTCCGCATTGAATGACCTTCATGTCTTAAAGTAATGATGGACTGTCATTTGTCTTTGCTTATTTGGGCTGTTCTTGCCATAATATGGACTTGGTCTTTTATCAAATAGGGCTATCTTCTGTATACCACCCCTGCCTTGTCACAACACAACTGATTGGCTCAAATGCATTAAGAAGGAAATAAATTCCACAAATAAACTTTTAACAAGGCTCACCTGTTAATTGAAATGTATTCCAGGTGACTACCTCATGAAGCTGGTTGTGAGAATGCCATGAGTGTGCAAAGCTGTCATCAAGGCAAAGGGTGGCTACTTTGAAGAAACTCAAATATAAAATATATTTTGATTTGTTTAACACTTTTTGGGTTACTACATGATTCCATATGTGTTATTTTATAGTTTTGATGTCTTCACTACTATTCTACAATGTAGAAAATAGTAAAAAAATAAGAAAAACCGTTGAATGAGTAGGTGTGTCCAAACCTTTGACTGGTACTGTACATACTGACCCTGGTCTATCTTCCTCACTCCACGCAGCTCCAGGCTCCCGTTCTTGTGGACTTGGAAGCGTCCTCCCAGTTGAGGTGTTGGCAGAGAGAGGCCGTAGGGTGTGGCCCAGGCGACGCGTTGAGCACTGTTGTCTGATAAGATACTGCTAACACTTTCATACTGCTTCTTCCACGTTGGTCATTGATGTGCGGCTCTCTTGCTTCTACTTCTATCTTCATGTTCTTGATGTCATCCCCAGCAGAATTCCTTACCACACAAGCATACTTCCCTTGGTCGGCCAAAGTCACCCTCTTTATCTTTAAAGAAAGTCCTATCACCTATGATTTGGTATTTGCTTGAAGACAATGTGATGACGTCATTGCTTGGGGAGAGCCACACAATGGTCAGTGGAGGATCCCCAGTCATCTGACACGTCATATAGGCAGACTCTCCTAGTTGGGCCGTGAGCAAGAGCTGAGCCTTGGATGTGATTCGGGGGGAGTCAGGGCCTACTCTTACGCTCACCTTCATCTCATCCTCCCCCAGCTCGTTCTTAGCATGGCACGTATAGTCCCCCTCATCGTTATTTTCCATTTGCTGCAGCAATAGTGTTCCATTCCCAAAGATGACATAGTGGCGAGAACGTGTGTCGCTGTCGTCCAACTGGAGGGCGTTGTTGATCATGGTTCCATCAGGGAGGCTCCAGGACACCTCTGGGTCAGGGAGGCCTGAGGCAACACAGTCCATCTGGAAGTTCTCCCTGTGGGTCACCCTCTTCTGGGCTGTGCCCAGGTGTTCAATCTGTAATGAGCACCTCCACCTGGAACAGCTCCATGTCCTCACCGTTGGTCCTCTGGAACATACACAGGTAGTTGCCTCCACCCATTTCAGTCAGCTGCAGGATCTGTAAGGTTACATTGGAGAACACAGTGACAGGTCTCTCAGTGCTGAGAATGAAAGAGATAGACACATTAAATAAAATATGATGTAAGTGACATTGAGAACAATTGTATATGATTTTGTAAGAATATCTACATTCTAATCAAATTATGTTCAATAATTTACACCATTTACACTGAATTTTCATTTATAGTGTAATTCCATCATGTAACTATACAATAGCTACTTTGTATTTGTACCACAATGCTTCTGTCATTTGCTGCTTCTCTTTGCTAACTGAATGCTGTGCCACTAGTGCTTCACTGTTTGGGAACCATGTTGAGCAGGAATTAATTGGGTGTACTCGACAGATGCCTGCAAATGTATCGATATTCTCAATCACAGTATTGTCTGTCTCTGACAGCGGGACCCATCAGAGTTTTTGACCCTGAAACTACAGGCTGGTTGACCTTGGTGAGGCTCCAGCCGTTAACTTATTTACATTAATTCCACTAATTGCATTTGATTGAACCTCTCCGAAATTGAGTGTTGTAATATAGTTCAGAATTTATTTTTCATGTCACAGAGGAGAAAGCGATTCAAATGATGCCACAAAATCTCAGCAGATAGAACTCATGGAAAAAATATGACTTCCAAATGTCTTAATTATAATTTAGCTTAATTTATAACTATAACAATCCTTCAGCTCTCTTATTCCTAATCAATATCAGCACAGTGTCTTATTTCTTTTATAGGAAAACTGCCATATACATGTAGGTTTGATTACTAGCATGGGGGAGTTACCTGTAGCGATGTTTCAGCAATGTTTTGGATGGTAGCTGCCAAAGAGTGCCACGGGGAGAGCCAGTGGACACTGGACAGTGCAGGTACACAGTGGAGCCATACATGGCTTTGATTCTGTGCTGTTGGGAGGGGTGCTGTGACTGTCGTGTCTGGGGATTTCCTGCCTGCCGTCCAGATGCGGAGCTCTCCTGGCTGCACCCACAGCGTTAGTCACAGAGCGTTCATACCTCCCAGAGTGGCCGGAGAGATGTTCTTGATGTACAGCGTCCAATTGGGGAAGACGAACAGTCTCCTACCGAGGAACTGGGAGGGTTTGACGTGTACCCCTGCAGGGAGGGTCCACAGGCTCTCCCTTGGCAGTGCAGTGGACGTACACACTTCTCCCTGCCTGGATGACGATGTTCTCCGAGGCCTCCTCATTGATGGTGGGTGGTAGCGCTGCCACGTGAATGTGATAGGTCACCGTGTCAGCCCTGGCCACATTACTAGCGATACACTTATAGTCTCCTTTACTGGAGAAGTTGGCTGATTGGATTCTCAGGGTGCCATTAGCCAGCAAAGAGGCTGCCCTGTCAAGAACTCCCACATCACGCACTAAGGTCCTGTCTGGAAGAATCCAGGAGATCTGAGGCTTGCCTGAGGCTACACAGTCTAAGCTTATAGGCTTGCCCAAATACACTGGGACCTCTTTTGAGTGGGGACCTATGATTTTGGGAGGCTGAGTCAGCACAGCCAGGGGTAATGACCAATCGGGCCGAGCCAAATTTGTTCTGTGCCGTGCAGAGGTACTGGCCTCTGTCCTGTAGCTGAACATTTTTAATCTCAAAGGTGCCGTTCTTTAGAACTTCAAATCTCTGTTCGTGTTTTGTGTTGGCTTGGATGGTAGCACCTGTTGTTGAAAGTAGAGAGAACCACATAATTGATACTCTGGATTAGTCTTGCATCATAATGTTAATGCTGTGAATCATTGTGGAGCTTTTGTCAAGGGTCTCTCTGTCAAATATTACAGCATGAAATATTAGTCACTTGTGAGTTGAGCACACTCAGGTGGTGCCATTTTGTTAATCTATTTGGTCCAGGAGAGCACTGGCTGTGGGTGTCCTGATGCTTCATAGGGCAGTAGCACATCGCCCTCAGCCAGGGCAGACATACTGACTGTGTTCACAGAGGTGATCCTAGACTTCACCCCACTACCCATCAGGTTGGGGAACGGCTGAGCCTCCTCGGGCCCCAGTGGCTGTAGTGCCAGCGGCTGCCGTGCTCTCTGTAAAGGCAGGATATGGCCCTGAACCATGAACTGAGGGCCACACTGGGAAGCGGCTATAAGGGCAATAGGGGGTGGGAGAGCGGGCGGAGAGGTGGTTTGAACCCTCCTTTGGACGTGCTGTTGGTGGATCCACGGGTGGATGGGGAGACTGTGACTCTCAGGTTTAGTTTGAAAGTGATCCTCCTTCTTTTTGTCTGTGTTTGTGTATCTGTTTCTTACAATGTCCTCCAGAGGAGTAATGCCTTTTGCAGCATGTGTTCTCAAATGTGTTTGTGTTTTATCAACTTGTTATTTTTTAGGAGGTGGATTTTGAATATGGATTTCTGTTATAGGTGTTTCTGGCTGTGTAGCTCCCTTGTCTTTAGTCAGGACCTGTGTTTCCATAGTAACCGTGTCACGTGACATAGGAGGTTCTATATTAATGTCATAATTAATAAGAGTGGGCTTTGTAGTTGTTATCTTTGTGGATGTTTGCCTGTTTTTGGTAGTCTGTCTGATAGCATCCTGTTTATTTGAGTTATCCCGTGTCCTCTCCTATCGAGTCATCTCAGTTGGGGGAGGCATATTTTCAGGCTCTGGTGTGGTGATTGTCTCTGGTGCATGTACATGCTCTCTGTTTGAAGGGTTAAATACACTAGGGTCTTTCACCTCTGCTGTTAATGATTTTATGTGAATGATATCTGATTTTACTATAGCAGTGCTGGGCTCAATGATTGGCTCAACGGGCTCATTGTCATCATGTGTTGAAATAGTGGGTATTTGTTCTGTAAAATGGTCCTCCATTTTAAAATTGTCATTGCGTGATGCAGTAGATTCATGTTTTTCCACTGTTGTTGTGGGTTGAGGGAGGGTCGTCTGTAGTTTGTGTGATAAGGGGAGGGAGGGGTTCTGAGGTCGAAACCGTCTCTGTTGGGGTCTGCTCCGTCTGTAAGGGAGTCTCCGTCTGTTAGTCCAAAAATGATTGTTTTTGGGGTTCACCCTCTTCTTCTCTCTCTCGACATGTTTGTCCTCTAGCTCTGTTTGAGTCTCTGTTTGGATCTCCTCTACCACTGTTCACAGGTGGTGCTTTCCGTCTTGGGGCCTGTTTTCTAGGTGGAGGTCGTAAAGGTTCAGGTTGCTTTTCGGAAAAGTTCAATTCCTCTTCTGTTTCTGTGTAGTGACTCGCATTTTTAGTTTTAGAATGGCTCATGATGGGCTTTTTAGTTGAGGTTGCAGCTGGAGGAGGAGTAGTAGTTGTTGTGGCAGTGGTCGAAATTGTAGTAGTTGTAGTTTTTCTAGTGATAGTAGTAGTAGTGGGTTTGGGAGTGGTCACAGGGGTTTTGGCTGTCATTGTCATTGCCATTTTTGTTGTTGGTGTAGTTAGTGGTTGTCTTGTAGGTGGTGCTGTCAGAGGCTTAGCGTTAGCTTTGGCTAGGATCTCAGCCCAGTGGTTGGGGTTGAGCTCCTTGACAGACTTTCCTCTTGTTATTCTTGATTCTCTTCCCTTTCATACCAGGGCGTAGAAACCTTCCAGGGTACCTCTGTTGTCCACCCACCCTCTTTCGAGACTGTGTAGCATGTGGGTGTTTTATCTCCTTGAATCCCAACCCTTCACCTTTATCCTTCTTATTCCCAAACAAAGGTGAGTCTCCTCTGGCTGTTTCAACACCTGATGATTCTTTCTCACCCTCTTCTTTTGCATCCACATTTTTCTCTCCTGTGAGATGAGCCAACATGTCTACTACATAGAGGTTAGCAGCCAAACAGCTGTACTCCCCAGCGTCCTCATGAGTGCCATTTTGATTGACGTAGACCCTCCCCTTCGGTTGCGATGGTAGTAGGATCTGATTTTTAGGGATGTACCAGCGTGTCTCGCAGGGCTGTGCTGAGGTCACAGAGTGAGAGGGACTCCCTGTTTTCCACCTCCATCTTCTTCCTATTCAGAGTGTTCGGGCTGAACAGGCGTTCTTTCACTGTCAATCTCACAGGCACCATGTCCACATCAGTCTTGGTGCGGACCAGACAGTGATATTGATTCTTCCAGGATAGATAGATCTGGGAGCATCCACTCTACAGACTGTGACCCGAACTGATTACTGTACACCCCAAACTGACCTCAGAGCCCTCCAGCACAGACTGAACTCTCTCCGGACTTCCTCTCTGAATCAGGGCCCAGGAGGAAGTCACGTCCTCCTGTTCTCCCCTACCACTGATGTGCTTGGAGATGAACTTGGTAAAGTCCAGCACCAGTTTTTTCGTGGTGGTTTGCCACCTGTTCAGCTGCAGGGTGACCCTGAGTTGGAGGAGCCATGCTGGTTCAGACATTAAGTGTCCTTTGAGATCTGTAAAGTAAGGGGATTCCTCGTTGTGACCCTGGGAGTACTGAAACATGTTCTCTCTCCTCATCCCCCTCTTCAGGAGGGCGGGGCTCTCGTAGTAGTAGGCCACCAGCCTCCAGAGGTTCTGCAGAGTGTCCCGGTTGATCTCACACTCCAGCAGGCTGACCAGGCGAGGTGGCCCAGGGGACGCTCCAGGTCCCTGGTGTCAGGCAGGTCAGGCTCTGAGTCCTGGTCGTCCCAGCCGGGGCTGTACCACTGCTTCAGAGGGGACACCAGGGAGGGCCGCTCACATGCCAGCTGGCCAGCAGACAACCTCAGGACCTGGCTGCCATTTAAGGGCTGTGGCGAGGAGCACACAGCACAGTTCTCACCGGATGCAGCTTTCCGCTCCTTCTTACACTTAATCACTCCTGTGAGAGAGAGAGAGAAAGACAGACAGAGAGAGAGAGAGAGTGTAGGTGTCAGAATGTGCATTTTTCTGTTTGTTTACCTGAAACTGGGTTCCGAGAAAGTTACAGATTATGTGCACACTAATTAGAACATTGTTCAGTGATAGAGTCATGCAACTATTGATATATATGAGCATTTTCAGTCTGACTCGGGCAGAGGAAACGGCACATAAACACTCACAATGATGTATTATCATCCATGTGCATGCATGAAAAGAGCCTACACATGGGCCTAATCATTGTTGTGGAGTGAAAACGTAATCAAAGCACAGCGACAAATGTTGGAGTGGATGGGAGACTCTTCAGGACTATACAGCACAAACAACCGTAGAGAGAGAGTATGTGTGAGAGGCCTCACCCTCATGCTTGGTTTTCCACTCTAGCAGCCACTGGAGATGGCAGTCACAGGTCCAGGGGTTGCCATGCAGGGATAGTAGCTCCAGCTTGCTGAGGGGCTGCAGGGTCCCAGGCTGGAGGTAGTGCAGCTGGTTGTCAGAAAGGTGGCGGTGATGCAGCCCAGAGGTCCAGAAGTTTCCCAGGAGAGAGAGGGTGACGGATCTGTGTGGGTGGAGGTCCCTCAGCTTGTTCCCCTCTAGCTGTAGTAGTTTTAATGACGTTAGCCCACTGAAGGTGTATGGCTCGTTGAAGTCTATGTTGTTGCGGTCGAGGTGGAGTCGCACCAGGCTGACCAAGCCCTCAAATATACCAGGGGTGACGGTCTTCAGCTTGTTGTAGCTCAGCTTCAGAATCTGGCAAGGAACATGATTTACCATATGATTGCCTCTCAACAAATGAGAGAACATTTTATAGGGATAGTGAGACAGGATAACACAGTTTTATGTACACCAAATATACAAAAGTATGTGGAAACCCCTTCAAATTGGTAGAATCGGCTATTTCAGCCACACCCATTGCTGACAGACCTTCCTGAAAAGCTCTGTGACTTTCAACGTATGTCATAGGATGCCACCTTTCCAACAAGTCAGTTCGTCAAATTTCTGCCCTGCTAGAGCTGCCCCGGTCAACTCTAAGTGCTGTTATTGTGAAGTGAAAATGTCTAGGAGCAACAACTGCTCAGCCGCGAAGTGGTAGGCCACACAAGGTCACAGAATGGGACCGCCGAGTGCTGAAGCGTGTAGCATGTAAAAATTGTCTGTCCTCTGTTGCAACACCCTCTACCTCTGGATGCAACGTCAGCACAATAACTGTTCGTTTGGAGCTTCATGAAATGGGTTTCCATGGCTGAGCAGCCGCACACAAGCCTAAGATCCCCATGCACAATGCCAAGCGTCGGCTGGAGTGGTGTAAAGCTCGCCGCCATTGGACTCTGGAGCAGTGAAATGTGTTCTCTGAAGTGATGAATCAAGCTTCACGATCTGGCAGTCTGACGGATGAATCTGCATTTGGCGGTTGCCAGGAGAATGCTACCTGCCTGAATGCATAGTGCTAACTGTAAAGTTTGGTGGAGGAGGAATAATAGTCTGGGGCTTTTTCATGGTTCGGGCTAGGCCCCTTAGTTCCAGTGAAGGGAAATCTTAATGACATTCTAGACGATTCTGTACTTCCAACTTTGTGGCAACAGTTTGGGGAAGGCCCTTTCCTGTTTCAGCATGACAATGCCCCCATGTACAAAGCAAGGTCCATACATAAATGGTTTGGCATAATCGGTGTGGAAGAACTTGACTGGCATGCACAGAGCCCTGACCTCAACCCCATCGAACACCTTTGGGTTGAATTGGAACGCCAACTGTTAGACAGGCCTAATCGCCCCCAAAAAATCAGTCCCATCTCACTAATGCTCTTGTGGCTGAATGGAAGTAAGTCCCCGCAGCAATGTTCCAACATCTAGTGGAAAGCCTTCCCAGAAGAGTGTAGGCTGTTATAGCAGCAAAGGAGGGACCAACTCCATATTAAATTCCATGATTTTGGAATGAGATGTTCGACAAGCAGTTGTCCACATACTTTTGGCCATGTAGTGTATGTAGCCTTTGTTATCTTTCTTGTCGTGAGTGAGACAAGAGACCCTCCTTGGTGCCAGCCTGTCGGGAGGCCTTACCTCCAGAGAGCACAGGCTGTAAAACACTCCTGGAGACACAGTCGTGATGTCATTCCCATGGAGCATAAGCATCTCCAGCTGGCGGAGGTGTGTGAACTCTGATACCTCCACTGTCTGGAGGCTGTTATAGCTACACGGAGAGAGACAGACAGGGAGGGAACAACACAACACATGCAGAAGCTGCCTGCGTGCATGTGCAAAATATAAACATCAACCCAAGAGCCAAGTAAAGAGCCAAGTATCCTGAGAAATCCTTGATCCTACAGATCAAGCAATCTATTTGCAAGGTATAATAGGTAGTTCGCTTCTCTGGCACCCCAATGGTGGAACAAGCTCCCTCACGACGCCAGGACAGCGGAGTCACTCACCACCTTCCGGAGACATTTGAAACCCCACCTCTTTAAGGAATACCTGGGATAGGATAAAGTAATCCTTCTACCCCCCCCCCCCCCCCCCCCCAAAATTGTAAAGTGGTTATCCCACTGGCTATAGGGTGAATGCACCAATTTGTGAGTCGCTCTGGATAAGAGCGTCTGCTAAATGACGTAAATGTGCCCTTGAGCAAGGCACTTAACCCTAATTGCTCCTGTAAGTCGCTCTGGATAAGAGCGTCTGCTAAATGACTAAAATGTAAAATGTAAAAATGTAATAGGTTCCACCAGTGTGTGAGCCATTCCAACAACAGAACCCCCCACATGTAGCCTACTGTAGTTTGTTTAGCTAAAGTACAGTGAGGGGAAAAAGTATTTAATCCCCTGCTGATTTTGTACGTTTGCCCACTGACAAAGAAATGATCAGTCTATAATTTTAATGGTAGGTTTATTTGAACAGTGAGAGACAGAATAACAACAAAAAAATCCAGAAAAATGCATGTCAAAAATGGATTTTCATTTTAATAAGGGAAGTAAGTATTTGATCCCCTCTCAATCAGAAAGATTTCTGTCTCCCAGGTGTCTTTTATATAGGTAATGAGCTGAGATTAGGAGCACACTCTTAAAAGGAGTGCTCCTAATTACATTTACATTTTAGTAATTTAGCAGACGCTCTTATCCAGAGCGACTTACAGTTAGTGAGTGCATACATTTTTCATACGGGCCCGCCGTGGGAGACGAACCCACAACCCTGGCGTTGCAAGCGCCATGCTCTACCAACTGAGCTACACGGGGCCCTTTCCTTTTCCACATTGTTACGTTACAGCCTTATTCTAAAATGTATCAAATACATTATTTTCCTCATCAATCTAGACACAACATCCCATAATGACCAAGCAAAAACAGGTCTTCCGAAATTCTCGCAAATGTATAAAAAATAAAAAACAGAAATACCTTATTTACATAAGTATTCAGACCATTTGTTATGAGACTCTAAATTGAGCTCAGGGGCATCCTGTTTCCATTGATCATCCTTGAGATGTTTCTACAACTTGATTGGAGTCCACCTGTGGTAAATGCAACTGATTGGACATGATTTGGAAAGGCACACACCAGTCTATATAAGGTCCCACACCAAAAACCAAGCCATGAGGTCGAAGGAATTGTCCGTAGCGCTCCGAGACAGGCTTGTGCCAAGGGACAGATCTGGGAAAGGGTACCAAAAACATTTCTGCAGCATTGAAGGTCCCAAAGAATACAGTGGCCTCCATCATTTTAAAATGGAAGAAGTTTGGAACCACCAAGACTCTTCCTAGAGCTGGCCACCCGGCCAAACTAAGCAATCGGAGGGGAAGGGCCTTGGTCACTTGGTCAGGGAGATGACCAAGAACCCGATGGTCACTCTGACAGAGCTCCAGAGTCCCTCTGTGGAGGTGAGAGAACCTTCCAGAAGAACAACCATCTCTGCAGCATTCCACCAATCAGTTCTTTATGGTAGAGTGGCCAGACGGAAGCCACTTCTCAGTAATAGGCATGACAGCACGCTTGGAGTTTTCCAAAAGGCACCTTAAGGACTCCCAGACCATGAGAAACAAGATTCTCTGGTCTGATGAAACCAAGATTGACCTCTTTGGCCTGAATGCCAAGCGTCACGTCTGGAGGAAACCTGGCACCATCCCTACGGAGAAGAATGGTGGTGGCAGCATCATGCTGTGGGGATGTTTTTCAGCAGCAGGGACTGGGAGTCTAGTCAGGACCGAGGGAAAGATGAAAGGAGCAAAGTACAGAGAGATCCTTGATGAATCTCAGTTTGTTACCTGTATAAAAGACACCTGTCCACAGAAGCAATCAATCAATCAGATTCCAAACTCTCCACCATGGCCAATACCAAAGAGCTCTCCAAGGATGTCAGGGACAAGATTGTAGACCTACACAAGGCTGGAATGGGCTACAAGACCATCGCCAAGCAGCTTGGTGAGAAGGTGACAACAGTTGGTGCGATTACCGTATTTTCCGCACTATAAGGCGCACCGGAGTATAAGCCGCAACAGCTAAATTGAATGATGTGTACATATATAAGCCGCACTGGACTATAAGCCGCAGGTGTTTTAATGTTTAATTACCATATGTAAGGGTTCGTGCACAGAGGGGATTGTCGGGAAAGAGATGGCTGCTTGAGGAAGCTCCCATTTATTAACATTTCAACAAACAAGTTGCATATTTGCATAACGTATTCCAGCAAAATTAGTTAATAGCGTCACAATCATTTAACCACTTAACTTTGGTTATTTTTGAAAAACCTTGAAAAAGTGTGCACATCTTTGAATATTTATCTACATTATAGCCTACAGTAGTACCATAACAAAAAACAAAGCTTACAGCGTTTGACGAAGCAATATCAAGTATTAAGTGCAAAATAAAGTGCCTGTAACACGACAGTAAGCGCGTAAACCTAAAGTTGCAGCAACACGGCTGCTTAAAATATACGGTAATCAGCCTACCAGAAAAGTCATTAATCCTCGTCTTCATCTTTTAGGCTAAGGTGCAGTACACGGCTGTAACCAGAAAAGTCAAGTCATTAATCCTCATCTCCGTCTTCTTCCTGCGTACTAAAACCACCAAAGTCCTCATCTTCAGTGTCGGAAACAAACAGGCTCAGGGTGGCTTCGTCAGCCACTCTCCTCTCTCCTTCGTTGACGCTCTCAAAACCAACGAACTCCTTTTCGTCACTGTCGGAATCGAACAGCCTCTGAAGGGCCTCAGCTGTGGCGGCGTCCTCCTCTTCATCACGCAGCAGTCCAGCCTTTCGGAACCCGTTAATGATCGTGGATGTTTTGACACTCCTCCACGCTATCAGGATCCACTCGCAAACTTGAGCGAAAGTTGCTTTTCGCATGCGACCAGTTTTGTTGAATGATTTATCGCCGCTAGTCATCCACGCCTCCCACTGAACGCGTAGTGCCACTTTGAACGCACGATTGACACTGATGTCGAGTGGCTGCAGATGCTTCGTTGTGCCCCCAGGAATCACAGCTGGAATGGAGTTTGTGCTCTTGATGGCTGCTTTCACATAATCCGTTATATGGGCCCTCATGCTGTCCAAAACGAGCAAAGCTTTTTTTTGCCGAAAGAATCCTCCAGGGCGCTTGACGTAGCACTCATTCAGCCACTCATTCATTACGCTTTCCATCATCCACCCTTTCTTGTTGACTTTAAAGGAGATGCCATTCAATATTTTCTATTTTCATTTCGGTGGCGACTGTTTCAGCTTTCAGTCGGATCTGCACGGTGGAAACACCTCGGCCGTCTGCTCTCTGTGTGTTCACCCAATCTTCAAGTCTTCAAGTTCGGGCCATCTGCTTTTATTACCTCTGAAAGCATTTTTTGACTTTTTGCATTGAGACAGTTCTTCCCGCTGGCGTCTCCAACGTCTCACCATTGACTCATTGATGCCAAGGCTACGTGCAGCAGGTGTATTTCCTTCTTTGACTGCCTTTAACTTAAAAGCTGCATCATATGCATTTCTACGTTTGTTTTCCATAATGAGGGTTTGTGCATGAAAACTTCCTTTGCACAAACTGTCTCGCTCTCGTAATGTCTGTCTGTCTTGCTCTCGGTTCCACTTTTACTTTTGCGCGCTACCTGTCTCACTCTTTTCCGGCCTCCAGCTTTTCCTGCTGGAGCCCGCCGCTTAAAGGTGGGGGGCGCGGACCGGTCATAGAGCCCATAGAGTTAAAGTTGGTGGACTGTAACCTGTAAAATCCATAGATTTAGGAGGTCTTCTAGTGGCCGTTAGCTGTAAAAATCCATAGATTAGCCGCACCGTTATATAAGCCGCAGGGGTCGAAAAATGGGAAAAAAGGCGCGGCTTATAGTCCGAAAATTACAGTATTCGCAAATGGAAGAAACACAAAAGAACTGTCAATCTCCCTCGGCCTGGGGCTCCATGCAAGATCTCACCTCATGGAGTTGCAATGATCATGAGAACGGTGAAGAATCAGCCCAGAACTACACGGGAGGATCTTGTTAATGATCTCAAGGCAGCTGGGACCATAGTCACCAAGAAAACAATTGGTAACACACTACGCCGTGAAGGACTGGAATCCTGCAGCGCCCGCAAGGTCCCCCTGCTCAAGAAAGCACATATACAGGGCCGTCTGAAGTTTGCCAATGAACATCTGAATGATTCAGAGGACAACTGGGTGAAAGTGTTGTGGTCAGATGAGACCAAAATCGAGCTCTTTGGCATCAACTCAACTCGCCGTGTTTGGAGGAGGAGGAATGCTGCCTATGACCCCAAGAACACCATCTCCACCGTCAAACATGGAGGTGGAAACATTATGCTTTGGGGGTGTTTTTCTGCTAAGGGGACAGGACAACTTCACCGCATCAAAGGGACGATGGACGGGGCCATGTACCGTCAAATCTTGGGTGAGAACCTCCTTCCCTCAGCCAGGGCATTGAAAATGGGTCGTGGATGGGTATTCCAGCATCACAATGACCCAAAACACACGGCCAAGGCAACAAAGGAGTGGCTCAAGAAGAAGCACATTAAGGTCCTGGAGTGGCCTAGCCAGTCTCCAGACCTTAATCCCATAGAAAATCTGTGGAGGGAGCTGAAGGTTCGAGTTGCCAAACGTCAGCCTCGAAACCTTAATGACTTGGAGAAGATCTGCAAAGAGGAGTGGGACAAAATCCCTCCTGAGATGTGTGCAAACCTGGTGGCCAACTACAAGAAACGTCTGACCTCTGTGATTGCCAACAAGGGTTTTGCCACCAAGTACTAAGTCATGTTTTGCAGAGGGATCAAATACTTATTTCCCTCATTAAAATGCAAATCATTTTATAACATTTTTGACATGCGTTTTTCTGGATTTTTTTGTTGTTATTCTGTCTCTCACTGTTCAAATAAACCTACCATTAAAATTATAGGCTGATCATGTCTTTGTCAGTGGGCAAACGTACAAAATCAGCAGGGGATCAAATACTTTTTTCCCTCGCTGTATAATATATCTAATTCATATAAAAATGTTCTGTTTGGGAGTCAAAATTATGCTGATCAAAAATATAAACACAACATGCAACAATTTCAAAAATGTTACTGACTTACAGTTCATATGAGGAAATCAGTCAATTGAAATAAATTCATTAGGCCCTAATCTATGGATTTCACATGACTGGGAATACATATATGCATATGCTGGTCACAGATACCTTTTAAAAAAAGGTAGGGGTGTGGATCAGAAAACCTGTCAGTATCTGGTGTGATCACTATTTGCCTCCTTCGCATAGAGTTGGCTGTTGATTGTGGCCTGTGGAATGTTGTCCCACTCCTCTTCAATGGCTGTGCAAAGTTGCTGGATATTGGCAGGACCTGGAACACTCGATCCAGAGCATCCCAAACATGCTCAATGGGTGACACATCTGTGAGTATGCAGGCCATGGAAGAACTGGGACATTTTCCGCTTCCAGGAATTGTGTACAGATCCGACATGGGGCCGTTCATTATCATGCTGAAACATGGCGGATGAATGGCATGACAATGGGCCTCAGGATCTCGTCACGGTATCTCTGTGCATTCAAATTGCAAATGATAAAATGCAATTGTGTTCGTTATCCATAGCTTGTGCCTACCCATACCATAACCCCATTGCCACCATTGGGCACAACTTTGACATCAGCAAACTGCACGATGCCATACACATGGTCTGCGGTTGTGAGGCCGATTGGACGTACTGCCAAATTCTCTAAAAAGACATTGGAGGCGGCATATTGTAGAGAAATTAACATGAAATTATCTGGCAACAGCTCTGGTGGACAATCCTGCAGCCAGCATGCCAATTGCACGCTATCTGTGGCATTGTGTTGTGTGACAAAACTGCATATTTTAGAGTGGCCTTTTATTGTCCCCAGCACAAATCAAATGAAATCAAATGTTATTTGCCACATGCGCCGAATACAACAGGTGTAGACATTACAGTGAAATGCTTACTTACAAGCCCTTAACCAACAATGCACTTTTTAAAGTTTTTTTCTTTTACAAAGTGTTAAGTAAAAAAAAAATAAAGCAAATAACTAAAGAGCAGCAGTAAAATAAAATAACAGTAGGGAGGCTATATACATGGGGGTACCGGTGCAGAGTCAATGTGCGGGGGCACCGGCTAGTCGAGGTAATTGAGGTAATATGTACATGTGGGTAGAGTTAAAGTGACTATGCATAAATAATAAACAGAGTAGCAGCAGCGTAAAAGAGGGGGGTGGGGATGGGGGGGCAGTGCTAATAGTCCGGGTAGCAATGATTAGCTGTTCAGGAGTCTTATGGCTTGGGGGTAGAAGCTGTTGAGAAGCCTTTTGGACCTAGACTTGGCTCTCTGGTACTGCTTGCCGTGCAGTAGCAGAGAGAACAGTCTATTACTAGGGTGGCTGGAGTCTTTGACAATTTCTGACACCGCCTGGTATAGAGGTCCTGGATGGCAGGAAGCTTGGCCCCAGTGATGTACTGGGCCGTACGCACTACCCTCTGTAGTGCCTTGCGGTCGGAGGCCAAGCAGTTGCCATACCAGGCGGTGATGCAACCAGTCAGGATGCTCTCGATGGTGCAGCTGTATAACTTTTTGAGGATCTGAGGACCCATGCCAAACATCTTCAGTCTCCTGAGGGGGAATAGGCTTTGTCGTGCCCTCTTCACGACTGTCTTGGTGTGTTTGGACCATGATAGTACGTTGGTGATGTGGACACCAAGGAACTTGAAGCTCTCAACCTGTTCCACTACAGCCCCGTCGATGAGAATGGGTGCGTGCTCAGTCCCCTTTTTCCTACAACGGTTAGGTCTAATCCTGAATGCTGAGGTGTTTAGTCCCAGGATCCTTAGCTTAGTGATGAGATTTGAGGGCACTATGGTGTTGAAAGCTGAGCTGTAGTCAATGAACAGCATTCTCACGTAAGTGTTCCTCTTGTCCAGGTGGGAAAGGGCAGTGTGGAGTGCAATACAGATTGCATCATCTGTGGATCTGTTGGGGCGGTATGCAAATTGGAGTGGGTCTAGGGTTTCTGGGATAATGGTGTTGATGTGAGCCATGACCAGCCTTTCAAAGCACTTCATGGCTACATACGTGAGTGCTACGGGTCGGTAGTCATTTAGGCAGGTTATCTTAGTGTCCTTGGGCACAGGGACTATGGTGGTCTGCTTGAAACATGTTGGTTTTACAGATTCAGTCAGGGACATGTCAGTGAAAACACTTGCCAGTTGGTCAGCACATGCTCGGAGTACACGTCCTGGTAATCTGTCTTGCCTTGTGAATGTTGACCTACGTAAAAGTCTTACTCACATTGGCTACGGAGAGCGTGATCACATAGTCATCAGGAACAGCTGGTGCTCTCATGCACACTTCAGTGTTGCTTGCCTCGAAGCGAGCATAGAAGTGATTTAGCTCGTCTGGTAGGCTTGTGTCACTGGGCAGCTCGCAGCTGTGCTTCCTTTTGTAATCTGTAATATTTTTCAAGCCCTGCCACATCCGACGAGTGTCAGAGCCGGTGTAGTACAATTCAATCTTAGTCCGGTATTGACTCTTTGCCTGTTTGATGGTTCGTCAGAGGGCATAAGCGTCCGGGTTAGAGTCCCGCTCCTTGAAAGCGGCAGCTCTACCCTTTAGCTCAGTGCAGATGTTGCCTGTAATCAATGGCATCTGGTTGGGGTATGTACGTACGGTCACTGTGGGGACGACGTCATCGATGCAGTTATTTATGAAGCCAGTGACTGATGTGGTGTACTCCTCAATGCTATCTGAAGAATCCCGGAACATATTCCAGTCTGTGCTAGCAAAACAGTCCTGTAGCTTTGCATCTGCATCATCTGACCACTTTTTTATTAACCGAGTCACTGGTGCTTCCTGCTTTAGTTTTTGCTTATAAGCAGGAATCAGGAGGATAGAGTTATGGTCAGATTTGCCAAATGGTGGGCGAGGGAGAGCTTTGTATTCATCTCTGTGTGTGGAGTAAAGGTGGTCTAGAGTTTTTTTTCCTCTGGTTGCACATTTAATATGCTGGTAGAAATTAGGTAGAATGGATTTAAGTTTCCCTGCATTAAAGTCCCCGGCCACTAGGAGCGCTGCCTCTGGAGGAGCATTTTCCTGTTTACTTATGGCCTTATACAGCTCATTGAGTGCAATCTTAATGCCAGCATCGGTTTGTGGTGGTAGATAGACAGCTACGAAAAATATAAATGAAAAGTCTCTTGGTAAATAGTGTGGTCTACAGCTTATCATGAGATACTCTACCTCAGGCGAGCAAAACCTCGAGACTTCCTTAGTATTACATTTTGTGCACCAGCTGTTGTTTACAAATATACACAGACCGCCACCCCTTGTCTTACCGGAGTCAGCCGTTCTATCCTGCCGATGTAGCGTATATCCCGTCAGCTGTATGTTGTCCATGTCGTCGTTCAGCCACGTCTCTGTGAAACATAAGATATTACAGTTTTGAATGTCCCATTGGTAGGATAACCGTAATCTTAGGTCGTCCAATTTGTTCTCAAATGATTGAACATTGGCTAATAGGCTTGATGGAAAAGGCCGTTTACTCGCTCGCCGTCGGATCCTTACAAGACCTACAGTTGAAGTCGGAAGTTTACATACACTTAGGTTGGAGTCATTAAAACTCGTTTTTCAACCACTCCACAAATGTCTTGTTAACAAACTATAGTTTTGGCAAGTTGGTTAGGACATCTACTTTGTGCATGACACAAGTCATTTTTCCAACAATTGTTTACATACAGATTATTTCACTTATAATTCAGTTTATCACAATTCCAGTGGGTCAGAAGTTTACCTACACTAAGTTGACTGTGCCTTTAAACAGCTTGGAAAATTCCAGAAAATATGTCATGCTTTAGAAGCTTCTGATAGGCTAATTGACATCATTTGAGTCAATTGGAGGTGTACCTGTGGATGTATTTCAAGGCCTACCTTCAAACTCAGTGCCTCTTTGCTTGACATCATGGGGAAATCAAAAGAAATCAGCCAAGACCTCAGAAAAATTTTTGTACACCTCCACAAGTCTGGTTCATCCTTGGGAACAATTTCCAAATGACTGAAGATACCACATTCATCTGTACAAACAATAGTACGCAAGTATAAACACCATGGGACCACGCAGCCGTCATACCACTCAGGAAGGAGACGCGTTCTGTCTCCTAGAGATTAACGTACTTTGGTGCGAAAAATGCAAATCAATCCCAGAACAACAGCAAAGGACCTTGTGAAGATGCTGGAGGAAACAGGTACAAAAGTATCTATATCCACAGTAAAACGAGTCCTATATCGGCATAACCTGAAAGGCCGCTCAGCAAGGAAGAAGCCACTGCTCCAAAACCGCCATAAAAAAGCCAGACTACGGTTTGCAACTGCACATGGATACAAAGATCGTATTTTTTGGAGAAATGTCCTCTGGTCTGATTAAACAAAAGTAGAACTGTTTGGCCATAATGACCATTGTTATGTTTGGAGGAAAAAGGGGGTTGCTTGCAAGCCGAAGAACACCATCACAACCGTGAAGCACGGGGTGGCAGCATCATGCTGTGGGGGTGCTTTGCTGCAGGAGGGACTGGTGCACTTCACAAAATAGATGGTATTATGAGGAAGGAAAATGATGTGGATATATTGAAGCAACATCTCAAGACATCATTCAGGAAGTTAAAGCTTGGTCGCAAATGGGTCTTCCAAATGGACAATGACCCCAAGCATACTTCAAAAGTTGTGGCAAAATGGCTTAAGGACAACATTGTCAAGGTATTGGAGTGGTCCTCACAAAGCCCTGACCTCAATCCTATAGAAAATGTGTGGGCAGAACTGAAAAAGTATTTGCGAGCAAGGAGGCCTACAAACCTGACTCAGTTACACCATCTCTGTCAGGAGGAATGGGCCAAAATTCACCCAACTTATTGTGGGAAGCTAGTGGAAGGTTACCCGAAACGTTTGACCCAAGTTAAACAATTTAAAGGCAATGCTACCAAATACTAATAGAGTGTATGTAAACTTCTGACCCACTGGGAATGTGATGAAATAAATAAAAGCTGAAATAAATCATTTTCTCTACTATTATTCTGACATTTCACATTCTTAAAATAAAGTGGTGAACCTAACTGACCTAAGACAGGGCATTTTTACTAGGATTAAATGTCAGGAATTGTGAAAAACTGAATTTAAATGTATTTGGCTAAGGTGTATGTAAACTTCCGACTTCAACTGTACGTCCACGATATCTCCGTCTCTTTCTCATGCGAATGACAGGGATTTGGGCCTTGTCGGTTGTCTATAGGATGTCCTTCGCGTCTGGCTCGTTGAAGAAAAAATCTTCGTCCAATACGAGGTGAGTAATCGCTGTCCTGATACCCAGAAGCTCTTTTTGGTCATAAGAGACGGTGGCAGAAATATTATGTGCACCTGTGTAATGATTATGCTGTTTAATCAGCTTCTTGAAATACCACACCTGTCAGGTGGATGGATTATCTTGGCAACGGATAAATTTTCTCTAACAAGGATGTACATTTTGGAGAAATACGTTTTTTGTGCGCATGGAACATTTCTGGGATATTTAATTTCAGCTCATGAAACATGGGACGAACACTTTACATGTTGTGTTTATATTTATATTCAGTGTACATATGTAATATATGACACCCATATGTTTCTTATATGTCGTAATGTGTGTTATGAAGAACCTTCACACTTTTTATTGAGATTTCAAGCAAAATGAGTTAGTTTTGGCCTTTGAAGGTGCTATTTCAAATGTTGATGTTTCGGGATATAATAAAATGACATGTCGGTGGCAGGTAGCTTAGTGGTTAAGAGCGTAGTGCCAGTAACCGAAAGGTCGCTGGTTCTAATCCCCGAGCCGACTAGGTGAAAAATCAGCCGATGTGCCCTTGAGCAAGGCACTTAACCCTAATTGCTCCTGTAAGTCGCTCTGGATAAGAGCGCCTGCTAAATGACAAAAAAAAAAAGACAAAAAATAAAATAAACTGTTGAACTAGAGCCTGTTTTCCACATGTCAGAAACTGGTTCTTTCTTCTCTTTGAATTGTGATTAAGCACTTTACTATGCATTGCGGTTATGTGCATCCTAACCACAAGTCAATCAGTCCATAATGACATGAACCAAATAAAAGAACAATGATGTATCAAAGTCTTGATATACTGTAAGTGTTGAGTAACACTGCAGAAGTGAAATCTAAGCAAGCCTACAAGTAATTTATCTAATAAAAAAATATTTTTCACTATATTTTACCGTAGTCGCCTTATTAACGTAAAATATCTTGAAAAATATCTTCAAATAAGATCAATTACTTGTATTAAGGCTTTTTTAGGTTAAAATAAGCAAAATGATCAGCCAATGACCGTTAGATAATGTAGCTTGGTAAGAAAAAAAAAGAAGAAAAATACTAATTTTAAGTTAATTATCACTCAACATAACATATATTTAGGCTTGATTAGATTTCACTTTTTTGCAGTGTAGTTTTCAACTAGACTGGACATTTTATTATAGATAAATGCTTTGTGTGCTAAATTAGCCTATGTGTTGACGAATCAAATATTCTTCAGGCAAGTGCTCTTTTGTAACTCAGTTGGAAGAGCATGGCGTTTGCAACGCCAGGGTTGTGGGTTCGATTCCCACGGGGGGCCAGTATGAAAATATATGCACTCACTAACTGTAAGTCGCTCTGGATAAGAGTGTCTGCTAAATGACTAAAATGTAGAATAATTCTATCAGATTTGGCGTCAGTTGACTAATCACCTAAGAAATTAGCTTTGTACATCAGCAATAATTTTTTGCACCAACAAACAACAATGTCAACTTCACTATATGGCAATATCCTTAAATTCTTGTCAAATACTGTATGTTGCTTACCTGGGAATTCCTCCAAGAAAAAGTTTGACAACAGCGGTCTTCAAAGTAGCCTGGAATGTTAGACACCAGTTTGGTAGAGGAGTGAGTTATTCAGTCTGTGTTTAGTGACCCTCCATGGTAAACCAAGCCGCTCTAGATCTGTGTTATGAGTGATGGAGGAGAGTTGGGTCTGTGTTAGAGGGGTGACACCGTAGCGGCCTCTGCTCTCTGCAATGGTCCACCCAGCCATACCCATCTCGATTAGAGTTTAACTCTCCCCACTCCTCTCTTCCTGAGAGCCTGGCTATACAGGGGAGGAATGGTGTGCTCTGGCCTCTCTCTCCTCCATCCCCTCTATTCTCTCCCTCCCTCCCTCACCTCTCCTTCTCTTCTACTCAGTCTTTCTCGCTCTGTCTCTCTTTTTCTGTGATTCTTTCTATCCTGTTGGCATATCTTGTTGGCTTTTACATTGCATTTCATTAATATGAATGAGGATAAAAGGATAATCGTGTTTTGCATATTTTCAGATATATTTGAACATGTTAGTATCAGTTAGATACACTACATGGCCAAAAGTATATGGACATCCCTTCAAGTTAGTGGATTCGGCTATTTCAGCCACACCCGTTGCTGACAGGTGTATAAAATCAAGCACAGAGCCATGCAGTCTCCTTAGACAAACATTGGTAGTAGAATGGCCCGTACTGAAGAGCAAAGTGACTTTCAACGTGGCACCGTCATAGTATGCCACCTTTCCAACAAGTCAGTTCGTCAAATTTCTGCCTTGCTAGAGCTGCCCCGGTCAACTGTAAGTGATGTTGTTGTGAAGTGGAAATGTCTAGGAACAACACTGGCTCAGCCGCGAAGTGGTAGGCCGAAGTGCTGAAGCGCGTAGCGCGGAAAAATCGTCTGTCCTCGGTTGCAACATTCACCACCGAGTTCCAAACTACCTCTAGAAGCAACGTCAGCACAAGAACTGTTCGTCTGGAGCTTCATGAAATGGGTTTCCATGGCCGAGCAGCTGCACACAAGCCTACGATCACCATGCGCAATGCCAAGCGTCGGCTGGATGGGTGTAAAGCTCGCTTTCATTGGACTCTGGAGCAGTGGAAATATGTTCTCTGAAGTGATGAATCACGCTTCATCATCTGGCAGTCCAACGGACAAATCTGGGTTTGGCGGATGCCTGGAGAACGCTACCTGCCCCAATGCATACAGTGAGGAAAGAAAGTATTTGATCCCTTGCTGATTTTGTACGTTTGCCCACTGACAAAGACATGATCAGTCTATAATTTTAATGGTAGGTTTATTTGAACAGTGAGAGACAGAATAACAACAAAAAAATGCAGACAAACGCATGTAAAAAATAATATAAATTGATTTGCATTTTATTGAGGGAAATCTGATTTGTATGAAGAAATGAAATGAACTGTGTATCTGTGTGTATGTTGGGCTGTTAATGAGGGGCTCCACATTGGTAGCAGCTCCAGTCACTGGAGATTTTCACAGAAATATTTAATTTGTGTGCGTCTCAGAGGGTGTGGTGTGGGGCTGTGCTTGGATCCAGGAGCCTCTGGCTGCTTGTAGGCCTTTTTTCTTCTCGCTCTCGCTCTCGCTCTCACTCTTGCTCTCGCTAGATCTCTCAGCTCATTACCCCAGCCCTGTGGCATCAGCATACCAAATCAGGCACCTCAGCAGTGCTCTCCAAGAACTGGGACTGACTGCCCTTTGAGTGTGCAACTGCTATGCAACACTATGCTGTGCATGCAGTGAGCGAAGCCTGTGGACAACGTGTTCCAGTGACTGAGCAATTGTCCCGGACCAGGTCCATTTGAAGATCATTGGGATGCTTGAGCCAGGCTACTTTGCAACAGTGTCTCCTCCTTTTAGCAACTCCTGTTGTGTTTGATCCATCTTACCTCCAGGTAAAGAGAGTTGTCCTCGACCAGGTCCATTTGAAGATCAAAGTATCAGTGGGTTGCTTGAGCCAGGCTACTTTGCAACAGTCTCTCCTTTTAGCACCTCCTGTGGTGTTTGATCCATCCTTACCTCTAGGTAAACAGATCTGCCACAAGGGGAATCAGGTCTTGTTTTGCCTGCTGGTCTAAAATCGATGGCAGAAATAACTGTTATACCAGAAACCAACTTACTCTAACTGCCTAAAGAGCTGGAGCTGTTCATCTCACGCCTACAGCATGCAAATGGCATCATCAATCAATTAACATTCAATTGAGCATTATGCACTCACACAATGAGATCACACCCCTGAGTCAATACTTTGTAGAAGCACATTTGGCAGCAAAAACAGCTGTCAGTCTTTCTGGGTAAGTCTCTAAGAGCTTTCCACATCTGGATTGTGGAACATTTGCCCATTATTCTTTTCAAAATTATTTAAGCTCAAACTGGTTGTTGATCATTGCTAGACAACCATTTTCAGGTCTTGCCATAGATTTTCAAGCAAAACTGTAACTCGGCCACTCAGAAGCATTCACTCCAGGGTAAATTTGGCCTTCTGTTTTAGGTTATTATCCTGCTGAAAGGTGAATGAATCTCCCAGTGTCTGGTGGAAAGCAGATTGAACCAGGTTTTCCTCTAGGTCTTTGCCTGTGCTTAGCTCCATTCCGTTTCTTTTTTATACTGAAAAACTCCCCAGTCCTTAATGATTACAAGCGTACCCATTACATGATGTAGCCACTACTATGCTTGAAAATTTGGAGAGTGGTACTTAGTAATGTGTTGTATTGGATTTGCCCCAAACATAACACTTGTATTCAGGACAAAAAGTTCATTGCTTTGCCACATTTTTTGCAGTATTACTTTAGTGCCTTGTTGCAAACAGGATACATGTTTTGGAATATTTTTATTCTGTACAGGCTTCCTTCTTTTCACTCTGTCAATTAGGTTAGTATTGTGGAGTAACTACACATCCATTAAACTCTGTAACTGTTTTAAAGTCACCATTGGCATCATGGTGAAATTCCTGAGCGGTTTCCTTCCTCTCCGGCAACTGAGTTAGGAAGGACACCTGTATCTTTGTAGTGACTGAGTATATTAATACACCAACCAAAGAGTAATTAATAATAAATTGTGTCAACGTTTATGATTCCTATGTGTGATTTACAGTTACAAGATGACATGGCCCTGGGTTGTCCTGAACAGAATGAGCCTATGTTTGTTATATTGTGAAGAAAATGTGCCTATCTACCAATAGGTGCCCTTATTTGTGAGGCATTGGAAACCCTCCCTGCTCTTTGTGGTTGAATCTGAAATTCACTGCTTGGCTTAGGGACCTTACAGATAATTTTATGTGTGGGGTACAGAGATGAGGTAGTCATTAAAAAATCATGTTAAACACTATTATTGCACACAGAGTGAGTCCATACAACTCAATATTTACTCCTGAACTTATTTAGTCTTGCCATAACAAAGGGTTGAATACATATTGACTCAAAACATTTCAGCTTTTCATTTTTAATTAATAGTAACAATTTCTAACAAAATAATTCCACATTATGTGTAGGCCAATGACAAACAAATATCAATTTAATCCATTTTAAATTCAGGCTATAACACAACAAAATGTGGAAAAGGTCAAGGGGTGTGAATACTTTCTGAAGGCACTGTATCTCTCTATTATGCGTGTGAATACCTTGGAACAGATTTCCAAAATTAAAATAACTTGGAACTGATTTGCTGGTGTTTTTACAGTATTTTATGTCTAACGATAATACAAATGTGTAACGTCTAACGGCGTAATGTGTTACCAATTGTTTTCTTGGTGACTATGGTCCCAGCTGCCTTGAGATCATTGACAAGATCCTCCTGTGTAGTTCTGGGCTGATTCCTCACCATTCTCATGATCATTGCAACTCCACGAGGTGAGATCTTGCATGGCGCCCCAGGCCGAGGGAGATTGACAGTTATTTTGTGTTTCTTCCATTTGCGAATAATCACACCAACTGTTGTTACCTTCTCACCAAGCTGCTTGGCGATGGTCTTGTAGCCCATTCCAGCCTTGTGTAGGTCTACAATCTTGTCCCTGACATCCTTGGAGAGCTCTTTGGTCTTGGCCATGGTGGAGATTTTGGAATCTGATTGATTGATTGCTTCTGTGGACAGGTATCTTTTATACAGGTAACAAGCTGAGATTTGGAGCACTCCCTTTAAGAGTGTGCTCCTAATCTCAGCTCGTTACCTGTATAAAAGACACCTGGGAGCCAGAAATCTTTCTGATTGAGAGGGGGTCAAATACTTATTTCCCTCATTAAAATGCAAATCAATTTATAACATTTTTGATATGCGTTCTTCTGGATTTTTTTGTTGTTATTTTGTCTCTCACTGTTCAAATAAACCTACCATTAAAATTATAGACTGATCATTTCTTTGTCAGTGGACAAACGTACAAAATCAGCAGGGGATCAAATACTTTTTTCCCTCACTGTATATATATATATATTTTGTTGCTCAGACAACTTGGGGGTCCAATAAAATCAACTGTGGGTCAAATTCATCCCGCGGGTCGCCAGTTGGGGAACACTGGTTTATGTGCACTCCGTGGTGGGTGATGGTCTGATCATGCATTTCACATCTCAATTATTAAGATGCCAATGATATTTACTTGCTGTTTCACAATGAGCCAGCCAATCATTCTAATGATCTCAAATTTTTTTACGGAGTGGAGGAGCAGAGGAACTTTTCTCCATTCGCCAGTGTTGAAAATAACCCAGCAGTGTGATGCATGACAAGTAGATTTGTCACGGTTTCGGCCGAGGCTGCTCCTCCTCCTTGTTCGGGCAGGCTTCGGCGGTCGTCGTCCCCGGAGTACTAGCTGCCACCGTTCGATGTTTCATGTTTGTTTGGTTTTGTCTGTTTGTACACCTGTCCCTTGTTAGTGTTTGATTTTGTTTCCTATTTAGTTATCGTGTGTTGGGTCAGGTGTTATGTGTGATTGTTTTTTGTCAAGCTGTTGCTCTCTGTATTTACTCTCGTGTTTTGTTGTTTTTCGAGAGTCCGCACTGTGTGCGCTATCGTCGTTTTACGCACTGTGTTTATTGTGCGTAATTTGTATTTTGCCTCCCGGTTGGGTTGGCTGTTCGCCTGTTTGGTGCTGCTTTCGTTTACTAAAGTCTGTTCACGAACGCCCGTGTTTCCTGCGCTTGATTTCCACACCGCATCTACACTCAGCTACTGACAAGATTATTTAATTACTAAATTAGGTAATTAATTCAGTGATTCAGTGAGACAAATGAAGAGTTTAGCCAATCACATACTTACAGGGGGTCTCCTAAATCATCATGAACCATGCCGTTCATCAACGATGCCTCTCTCACCTTGTCCAGCTGGGTACAATCTCTCTCTCTCTCTCTCTCTCTCTCTCTCTCTCTCTCTCTCTCTCTCTCTCTCTCTCTCTCTCTCTCTCTCTCTCTCTCTCTCTCTCTCTCTCTCTCTCTCTCTCTCTCTCTCTCTCTCTCTCTCGTAATCCGCCACAAATCAAGTGGTCAACAGCTCAGTGGACAGGAAGTTCAAAGTTCACTGAACATAGTTGTTATCACAACTTCTACTGAATGTTTTTGTCTTGTAATCTTTTCCTTGTGAATTTAATAAGAGCTAATTTTTCTGTAAGCCTGTGTGGGCCATGCCAGTTTATTTAATTTCCTTTATAGAGTTTTGAGGCATACCCAGCTTTCGTGAGGGATAATCTAATCTCTGACTGGACTGTATTTGTCTCAGTAATTGATCTTCCTCAGATGTTTCCACTTGGCTTCGACACTCATTTTTAACGATTAACCCTTTCAAGGGTCACTGCTCTTTGTGACATTCTGTCTTCATGGTGGGATTATTTATCTGAATAACACCTGACCCTTCTGGGACACCGTACCTACCTTAGAGTGTCAATGGAGAAAGCAAATTAGAGAAGCGCAGAGTCACTGAGAAATGTCTCCATATCAATTAAAAAAGAGTTAGGCCTAAGACCATTGGTTATCTATCTACCTCATTGATACAATGCTAATAGGTGTCTACTGTCTAGACAGTGAATATCCATTGTGATGCCCTCGGAACGTGTGTAGGACTATAAATGAATCAATTGTGTCCGTCCCTCCATTTATTTTACACTTTGTTTGTTCTCGCCCAATTCAAATAACGCGGTGGATCAAGTCCGTCCTTCAGGAGTGGGCCGATGGAAATTGGTCCTAACTGAGACCTGCTGCAGACAGACTCACTCCCTGGCTGGGATGGAGCAGGGCCAAGAATCCCTGGGTGGTCTGGGCAGCTGGGGAGATGTTTGGAGCTCTGAGAACAAAAGATCCACAGCTCATCCATGCTCCGTCATCCCTCTCTCTTTCCCTCTCTTCCTCCTCTGCAGGGGCTGTAAATCTCTCTACAGTCAGACCAGACCAGGGGGGAAGGATAGGACAGGATACTATACACACTGACTGCCCTGTGTGTGTGCAGCCCTGGCAGCCGGACTGTAGGGGAGCAGGTGAACGCACTCATGGCGGTTAAGTCAGCCAAGTTCACTTCAATAGCGGGAGCTTTATTGGAATGGGATGATCCATCATCAACGCATCATCATGATTTAACCTCCCATTGTTTTATAGAGACATGGTGAAGAAGACAGCAGATGTCTCTGGAAGGAACACATAGATATACATCACACTATTACTGTCAAACAATGCACCCCTAACAAACATGGGACGTGACATTCCCTACTAACACAGTGTGTGTGTGTGTGTGTGTGTGTGTGTGTGTGTGTGTGTGTGTGTGAAAGAGGGCACAGCAAAGCACGAATGTCTTTCATTTCCCGGCTGTGTGTGCCAACCCTCGCCCTCCACACCCTCTGCCCCACTCTCCCTGCCTGGGGTAGCTGAAGGCGTGCCAGCAGGTGGTGCCGTGGCATCCCCAGTCCCTCATCACTCCCAGATGAAGGTAGCAAAGGGATTTGGCAGATCCACATTTTAAATATCACTAACCTGCTGAGAGGCCCCCTCTGGGCGGCTCATCCAGATAGCTGATAGAAAGGAGGCCTTTCAGGGGCACAGGGTTATCATCTCACTCTCTCTTGCTCTCACCCTCACCCTCTGGGTCAGGTGGGAATAATTTGAAAGCTTGTTCTTTTGCCTACATGACTAGCTAAATTATCAAATACAATCTTACAGTGTTAGGCAATTCAGAGAAGCAGATCGCAATTTTGGTGCGCACACTGTAGAACGGAGTCTTAAGTACATTCAGATGCGTGGTCCGTGGCAAATTTCTTCACAATATAACAAACATAGGCTCATTCTGTTCAGGACAATCCAGGGCCATATCATCTTGTAACTGTAAATCAAACATAGGGATCATCAACGTTGACACTGTATATTACATGAGTTTTATTAAATGGAAATGTGAAGTGCACATTTGGACTCACTGGTGTTTGGCTTGCTTGTATGACATCAAAGCGATATTTATTCCTCAATGTCTCATCTTTGAAAATACACTGAGTCCTCGTAATTTACAGCATTTCCTTCACTCAGACAACAAAATAATTGCTAAAGTGCCCAATTACCAGGAGGGATGGGGGCAACTTCTTGTCGCGTGCGGTGCTCAAGTTCAGAACGGCTGTCAGTCAAAACCCATACAGAACTGTGAAGAGGAGACCCTGAGCTCTGATGTCATGTATATAATGTTACTATACAGCCACTGCGTTCCAATTTAGGCACTTATCAGTCCAAATTGTAACTTTCAACCCGTATATGGGTACGAGTGTAAGGGCTACCTCTCCTGTGGATTATTTCATGGAAAAGGCAGAATAATATCAAAGTAAATCTATGTGAGTGGGGTGATACGTGCCAGTGTTGTGTTCGAGACCACCTAAAGCGAGACCGATTCAAGACCAAGACCGGAGGAAATCGAGTCCTAATCAAGACCAACACCCGAGGGGGGGCAAGACCGAGTCAAGACTGGGAGGGGGACAAGGGGTCCGAGACCGAGTCAAGACCGAGACCTGAAAAATGCGAGTCCAATGCAAGACCATGATTGTAATTTTGTCAAATCACCACCATAATAAGAGTTCAAAATATCCAGTATTTCTGTATTCCTATTTCAGGACAACATATGGATTCTTTAGACATTCAGAATAGTGAAAAAATGCATGCTGAGGGAAAATAGAGACACTCTACAAATTATTACTAACCCAAACACAGAGGGGAACAATGGGCCTTCAGAGAAGGGCTAAGGATTTTAATAATTATAATAATTATAATTATAATGATCATTATTTTATTATTTTCAATGATGTTCTGATTTAATCTCTTCAGTTTTTGTTGGAAAGGGATAAGATAAATCTGGCTAGCTTAGTCAGTCATTGGCTAGGCAATCAGAAGCTGTATTAGGGTGTCACGATCGTCATGGAGAGACCAAGGCGCAGCGTTGCGGGTGAACATATTATATTTATTAAATGATCACACGATCAAAAGAACAAACGAAAAACGTGACGTCTATGGTAAACACACACCAACACGAACAAGAAACCACAAACACAACGTGAAAGACAGACAGTTAAATATGGCTCCCAATCAGAGACACCCAGCTGACACTCGTTGCCTCTTATTGGGAGTCACTCAGACCAACATAGAAAAATCAAACCTAGAATTACACACCCTGGCTCAACATAACATTGTCCCCAGAGCCAGGGCGTGACAGTACCCCCCCCCTAAAGGCGCGGACTCCGACCGCGCCAACTAAATCCCACAGGGGAGGGACCGGGTGGGCACTCCGCCTAGGCGGCGGATCCGGCTCCGGACATGACCCAGGCACGGGTTGTGCTGGACTGACGACGCGCACCCCTGGCTTGGTGCGTGGAGGAGGAACGGGCCTTACCAGGCTGACGACGCACACCGTAGGCTTGGTGCGTGGAGCAGGGACAGGCCGGACTGGGCTGACGAAGCACACCACTGACTTGGTGCAGGGAGCAGGAACGGGCCGAGCCGAGCTGACGAAGCGCACCACTGCCTTGGTGCGGGGAGCAGGAATGGACCGGACCGGTCTGACGAAGCGCACCCCTGACTTGGTGCGGGGAGCAGGAATGGGCCGGACCGGGCTGACGACGCGCACCACTGACTTGGTGCGGGGAGCAGGAATGGACCGGACCGGGCTGACGAAGCGCACCCCTGACTTGGTGCGGGGAGCAGGAATGGGCCGGACCGGGCTGACGACGTGCACCACTGGCTTGGTGCGGGGAGCAGGAATGGGCCGAACCGGGCTGACGACGCGCACCACTGACTTGGTGCGGGGAGCAGGAATGGGCCAGACCGGGCTGATGACGCGCACCACTGACTTGGGGCGGGGAGCATATTATATTTATTAAATGATCACACGATCAAAACAACAAACGAAAAACGTGACGTCTATGGTAAACACACACCAACACGAACAAGAAACCACAAACACAACGTGAAAGACAGACAGTTAAATATGGCTCCCAATCAGAGACACCCAGCTGACACTCGTTGCCTCTTATTGGGAGTCACTCAGACCAACATAGAAAAATCAAACCTAGAATTACACACCCTGGCTCAACATAACATTATCCCCAGAGCCAGGGCGTGACATAGGGCAACATTTTGGAGTGACAGTGGAATCAATCAATCACATTTTGACTTAATGAGTGGGACCGTTTTTACAAAAACGTATGGAAACTTCTGAAGGCCAACAGGTCACTGCGCAATAGTGAGCAGTAGTTTTCCCACGGTCTAGCTAGCTAGCTTTTGTTGTTGGCTAGTTTGCAGCGGCTGCAGCAGGTGTTATCAAAGAGGATGCTGTTGCTAATTTGTTAGCTTCTCCCTTTTCAAGAATAACTTTCAACAAGAAGTTAAGTTTCAAATGATCATTATCTGGTGAGTGGAACTGTGTTTTTTATTGCAGAGTGCTTGCTGTTGTTAGCCATCTCTTTGAAAATAACTTATGTGTGTGAAACATTGTTGCATTTATAGTTGAACTGACAGCATTTTAGCAACATGAAATCCTATTCACCCAGGCCCATCCATGTGTACGCCCCTGATGCAAACAGTGCATGATGACAATTGCGTATCACAAATAGCCTACAAACCAATACTTCGGACTAAACTTTTTCAATACCTTATTTGCATACCCATTGTTGCCTTAGTTAGCATTTACTGGTAGATATCATAAGTTGAAACGTCTTTTCTACCCTACCGGCTACCGATGTCATTCTTCTTTGAGCTACTCCATGCCGGTAACGTTAGCTATCTAAATCTTTGGACTGGAGAACACTCACTTGTTGCTAGTAATTGAATTTTACTCACCATGCAGG